ATCCTTGTCGCACTGTTCTTTGATACATATATGACCACTACATACCACGATAGCTAATAAACTGACTTAACTGAATGCATTAACCAATGGGATATATCACTAAGATAATCGTTATGTACAGATAGATCCTCGTACTTTTTGTACCCCGAGCCGAAGGAAAGAGTTGTTTTAAAAGACCTCTCATTCAATGTATTCTCCAGTGTTTCTCATCTTCCGCAACTTTTCCTTTCGGCCCGGGCTACGCATAAAAACGCTCTACTAAATGTTCTAAGACAGCACCGTGGTCCTTTTATTTCTATATCTCTTAATTTTGGATGGTGGATTTTAGATAGGCTTTATTTCATCATGAGGATATTGTCTGTTTATAACTTATGCATGTCTGCTCTTAACGAACGAGGAATACCCCTGGRAAGGGTAAATTCTTCACACTGACCTCGAACTTCAAGCGACAAGAGCCGATTTAGCCAATACGAGCCTTTATAAGGACGTGCATGTTTCCAATACTTTCCCATCCCGATAACAAATTAATTTTGGATGTAGCTAGAAACGTCCTTTATTTTCATCAATCAAGCAATGAAGACAAAGAATTGAGGATTCTTTTCATGATGGCTGCAATAGACTATCCCGCTGCTGAGAACTCTATGTAAATTGGTGATGCACCTCAAGGTGAAATTCTCTCATATGGATGACTGATTTTGAACTAATTGCGCAGAAAACACAATACTTTGAGCCCAATAAACAAAATGACTTCATGCTAGCTTAAATCTGGGTCCGTGCAGAGTATAGTATCAACAACGAAATTTAAGGACTTTTCAAGGGCTTTTTCCAGGACCAAAATTGTATTTTCAAGGAGCATCAAAATCATTGCTAATTGTACATTCTTACCTCAAAACCTCAGCCGAACGGAATAATTCAGAGATCGCTAGCCCTTCGTGATAGAGATCCATCTTTTTCAAGGAGTTTTCAAGGAGTTTTTGGAAATTTTCAAATTTTCAAGGAGTTTCAAGTGCCCTTGAAAACGAGTTTTTAATTCAAGCACTTTTCAAGGATTTAAGGACCTGCATGGACCCTGTTAAATATACTGCAAATACTTTAGTAGATGTTGGATATTTTAGTGATTATTGTTTGATAAATAATAACTAATGTTGAGCAATGCTATTTTGCACATGATGGGAATATAGTCATTCCAACTTTGTTATGGATTCTAAAATAGTACCCCAACTTCTGTTCTGGCATTGTATGTATGGTTTTTGCTCATATGCTTATTAAACATGCTTTCCTCAATTAACCAATTCGTTTTCCCATTATTTATTTATTCATTATTTCAACTATCCAAGGATTCATGCAATTGTTAAGAAGAGCCTGTCAATAAGAGGACATAGGATGAAAGAGCTGTGAGTAGTTTATGTTTTACGTACACATTTACTTTTTGGCCGTGAGTAGAGAAAATAATGGCGGACGAAAACTAAATCGTAAATATGTCATCCTTCCCATTGAAATATCGAAATGAAACTTTACAGAGTGATTTCTTGTTTATTTATCTTTATGTTGAGAAAGTTTCAGCGGCTAAGACATAATATTACAGGTTTTTCAAAAACGGCCATACATTACGTCCAAGTACCCCTTTAAGTTTGAAAATTAAGGAAAATTATTATTCCCTTTCAACTGAGTATATGCAAGATGGTGTCAGTACAGTGTGTGTATATGTCCTGTTATTGACACATGCCAATCAGCCAATCGGCATACAAGTGTGTTAAAAAAAAAACACAAGAAAAGCATCCAAGCTGAACACTCTGTTTTGTATATCAAATTCCTAAATTCTCTACTTCTATTAAATTCCTAAAAGCTATACTTCTTTGTCATTTCTGCAATTCATATCCAATATTATTTTTTCATTCTATTACATAATGATTCATTCATTTACCCCATTATTCCATCCATTCATCCCTTCCATCCATTTATTCATCCATCCAACCATCACYAGYACACTGCTTAATAGGGAGTTCCTTAGCRCACTGAAGACATTTGTACGCAGGCGAATCAATTTTAGCAAAGATTGTGATCCCAGACTTATAAACTGCTGGAATTTTCAAATGAGAAGTTTCTAATTCATGATATTTAAGGTCACTGCCATAAACCATTTTCAATGTCTCCTCTTTAATCAGCCTTTCAATTTGCTCAAGAACTTGAAGCTCTTTCCATCTGGTACTGTTTADAGGAGTAGTATCCATGTTAACATCCCACCTCATGATGACATCATGGCGGTGTATAAGAAGCACAGATTCACTACAAAGTTGTGTCATAAGTTGTTCAACATTTRATATTTGGTATGGATTGGTCATATGAGTTCCTGCGTCACTGACACCATAAACCATTTGGTGGTGCCAGGCATCTGGTATGCTGCCGTCAGGATATTYTATTCGCTGACAATTCAGTGTTACAACTGGTACTCCRCCTAGATGTATCCATTTCTTCAGCCATGATGTTATATCAACATCCCTTTCGGGAAAGAAATGRAAAAATTTCCCATCAATTTGATTTTTGCTCAGTCTTTTTATGCMATCTATGATGTCTGTGTGCGTGGTTCCTGCTACACTCCGCGATAGCAAATACTGAGGTAATGGMGCTTCAAGGTCTCTTTGTCGAGTGCGAACAGCTTGGATAGCTTCTTGAACATCTGACTCTAGTCCTAGAGCATTCTGAAATGACACAGAAATGTCACAAGAGAAATATCAAAYATCAMGCAAACTTCTTGTATTTGATTACCAAAACGTTAAGAGCAGCTGTAGCTCCACAAGCCGAGGTTCCAACTTGATCAATCTGTTTTTGTTTTGCTTCCTCTTCGCTCCAAATCATACTCTCCAAAGGAAAAGGAGCAACTTCCGCCATTTTGACTTTACTACAAAGGAAGCCCATTAAACTGAAATGGATTTCCTGTGTACTCACATGTTTCAAAATGGCGGTCAAGCGATAGATTTTGGATTTGTGTACAAAATGACGCTKTTCAGCGCTGCTAATGCCTCAAATTTTGTTAAAGTTTGTTCTTTTAGTCAGAGGAGGTYAATATCCAAATGGATTTCAGATTTGAAAGCTCTCATCCCAAAGGAGCCACAAATTCGCCAAGTTGGAGATCCGATCCTTCGAGAGCAGGCTGAACCAGTWGAACTGGGTTTCATCCATTCACCTGACTTCAAGGCAATGGTCGAGCGTATGATTAAGAAAATGCGTAGCCACAATGGTGCAGGAATCGCTGCGCCACAAATTGGTGTTGGTTTACAAGTCATCGCAATGGAATATACCGGAATGCATATCAAGAAACTTAAAGACAATGGGTTTTCCGATAAAGAACTYAAACGGATGGGAATTGCTCTGGTTCCTCTTAAGGTTTTTATTAATCCTCGTCTAAAGATAATAGACCCTAGAATGGTGGCTTTCAGAGAGGGCTGTTTAAGYCTTGAGGGATTCAGTGCATTGGTACCAAGGGCTCGCGAAGTTGAGGTATCTGCCTTAGATTTGTCYGGGAACCCTGTGTCGTGGCACGCTGGCGGATGGCCGGCAAGAATTCTTCAGCACGAAGTTGAGCATTTGAAAGGAAATCTGTATATTGACTCAATGCTGTTTAAAACGTTTATGAATAATAAGTGGCCAAAGTATCAAGAATAATTTTGGGGACAAACACACAGGGACCCCAGATTATATACATGTAGTTTGTGAAAAAGCTACAGATTTTTGTTGCATATTCAATGGAATTTTGTATATTTTGTTGCATTTGACAATGCACAAAATAATTTCATTATCTATTGAGCCTACAATCTTGCGCACAATAATGCATTCTAATTTTCCCTGAAACATCTTTTTGCATGGCTATAATCTGCTTTGTTGCTTCGCTCTCTGTTGGAAAATGGCCATATCGATAAATTCCATTAATATGTTTTTAAGCATCAAAAATAATTAAACAAACAAAGAAAAATGTAACATACCAGAGAAAGTAAAGTAGAAATTGAAATGATAAGATACTACATAATTGAGTTCAAAAATGAAAGTAAAATCATTCAAGCTTAGACCCACTTTCAGCCAGGATCTTTCTGCATAAAGATATAGTTGAATCAATGCATGGTTGAACAGCATAAAGACATAATCATGCCTATTATGTAAAAGTCAATG